TACAACATACATTTCATACTACAACATATTTACCATACATTTACATACATACAACATACATACATACATACATACATACATACATAGCATAATACATACATACTAGATACATACATAGCATACATACGTACATACTACATACATACATACTACATACATAGCATACTACATACTAGCATACTATACATACATACATTACATAATACATACATACATACAAATCACATACATACATACATTACATATCAGACATACATCAAGCTAACATACACTATCATACATACTACATACATACATACAATACATACATACATTAGCATACATACATCACATAGCATACATACATACATATACATACATACTACATATACATACATACTATACATACCATACATACATATACATACATACATACATGACATCATACATACATAATCCATACATCTAGCATAATACTACATACATACGTACATACATACATACATAATACATGTACAGTACATAGCATAATACATACAACATACATACATACATACATACGATATCTACTTACACTACATATAACTACATATAGCTACATACATAACATACATCATACATAAACTACATACATACATACATACATACATACATACATACATACATACCATACTACATACCATACATACATAGCTACATACGATACATACATACATACGATACATCAGACATACATCATAATACACTACATACATACTACATACATCCATACATCAGTACAATAGCATACATCATACATACATAGCACTCATAACAGTACATGAGCATAGACATACGGATACATAGATACTACAAATACATACAGTACGATACATAGCGATACATAGCATAAGCATACATACATAGCATAACATACATACATACACATACATAATAGCATACATACTACAGACATACATACATACTACATACATACATGTACATACATAATCTACATAATACATGTAATACATACATACATAACATACACATACAGTACATACATACATACTACATACTAATACATACATAGCTCAACATACATACATACATACATACACATACATACATATATACATACATACATTACATACATGACTACAGTACATACATACATACATAGCATACATACATACATCATAACATACATGACTACATACATAAACATACATAATACTACATACATACAACATAGCTACATACATCAGAATACATACATAACTAAGACATGTTAACTACATACATACTACATACATACATACGATATGACATACATACTACATCATACATACATACATACATACATACAACATTTACATCATAACATACGAAGTACATACGCAACTAGATACAACATACATACATACATCATACAAATACATTACATACGTACTACATACATACATACATACATACTCACCATAATACATACATACATCATACTACATCACATACATACATCATGACATACTAATACATACATGACATACATACATACATACATACATACATACATAGCACGATACATACATCAACATTACTACATACATACATACATAATTACATTACATAATCACATACTACATTACATAATACATACTAATACATACATACATACATACAATACATACAGACATCATACAAAATACATACATACATACATACATACCATACATAGATACATACATACATACATAATACATACTACATACATACATACATAATACATGAGCATACATACATACATACATACAACATACATAGATACATACATACATTACATACATACATACATACATCATTACACATACTACATACTACGATACATACATACATAATACATTACATACAAGCATACATAACATACATTACATCAATAATACATACATACATACGACACGGGACGACGCGCGAGCGCGCACGGCATCACGCACCGCACACGACGCACACACACATACACGATAGCACACAAGCTGAAGCGCTTCTCGTTGGGGGTTGTCCTTAATTTTTCCGCTCACAGGCTGGGGGTGGCCCCGGCCAGTGAATTGGCTGTTTATATTACGCGCAGGCCGCGAATGTCTTTGCGTGTCGTGCGGTCTGGTGCGGTGTCGCGTGGTGCCGTGCGTGCCGCGGGGTGTCTGAGGGCGTTCGTGTCCGTCGGGGAGGTGGGGCTGCGGGGGCGGCCCGCGGCCGGCGGGGGGGGGGGGGCGGTGTGCGGTGGGTGGCTGGGGGGGGTGGTGGTGTGGCGGGTTGGGTAGTGGTGGCTGTGGCTAGTGTTGTACGGTGGTGGTGGCAGGGTGGTGAAAGCCCCCGTGTCGGCAGGTGTCTTGGGAGGATAACTATGCGGGCCGTCTCCGTGTGCGGGGGGGGGGTGGGTGGTGGGTGATGTGGGGTGGTGGTATGTGGCTGAGGTACCTGGAACAACGAGTGTTTAGTATAGCTATATTATCATTTAAAACCCGTGAGAAACACATTAATAGTTTTAACACAATTCAAAAAATTATGGTACATATGTGTGGTGTGTGTGCTTCTTAGACAATCGAACGGCGTCTAAAAAATTGTCAGAGCATTGGGAGCCGGGTAAGCGCGGGCACGGTTATTACCTCCCGTTGTCAAATGTTTGCACACATGCGCGTACGCACGCACGCACCGTATTCACCACATACGGGCATGCGCACGCACAATCACACGCGCACCCACGCACAGACAAACTACATTTACACACACACCGGCGCGCCACACACATACAGCACGCGCACAGCACACGCACACACGCACGCACGCACACACGCCACCGCACACACACACACACACACACACACACACACACACACCCCACACATACAACTGCAGCCGTCACTCGTTGGGGTTTCTCTTAAATTTCGCCTCACAGCTCGTGCGCGGCAGTGCTTGGTTGTTGTTATACACCGCCGCCGCAATGGCTTTGGGCGTTGCGTGTGTGCGCATGCGGATTTGGCGATCTTAAAGTTGGTGCGGGTTCGCTGAATGCCGAAGTTTCGTCGCGGCACATAACTTTTTAGAAAATTGCTTCCAAAGGTCACTTTACGATGGAAAAATCGCGTTCTAACGTAGCGGAATGTATTCGCGACGCCCAGAAGAGGGGCCCCAGCTCGATTTGCGCGAGCACACGCGGCACGGTTTCGGAGGAGATACGGAAAACGACACTTCGGCTCTTTCTACTATTATATAGTAGATATAGTTATATATATGTAAATATTGTTAGAAAGATGCATATGAAAACCTGTATGACAAGGGATGACCATTGTGTGGCGGTAGCAAAGCTTATTTCTACGTAGTCGGTGACGGCGTTTGATGGCATTTGCATGTTGTACGTTACCTGCTTCATAGGAATAATGGATTATGCGGTATATATGTATGTATGTATGTATGTATGTATGTATGTATGTATGTATGTATGTATGTATGTATGTATGTATATATATGTATGTATATATATGTATGTATGTATGTATGTATGTATGTATGTATGTATGTATGTATGTATGTATGTATGTATGCTTATAACCATTGATTAATTCCCATAGTGTTTGTTAAGGGCATGAATGCGGCATCGCAGATGGCGACCTGTCCACGTGATTGAGCACGTGTACGGGCCGACACGGTGAACACTTACTGCGTCACTGCAGCTATTCTACGCGGGTATTGGTTCACGTTATGTGAAGGTCCGCCTACACAGCCCCGTGATATCGAGTAGATGGGAGCAAGTTTAAGATGAGCTGGATTGTGGCTTCTTCATCCAGGTAGGAGCACGAATACGCCTTTATCGTCAGGTGAGCATGTATCACATTACGTATGCCTCCGTGCCTTTACTGTTAGTATTCGTTTCACCGGGTTTCGCACTGAATGGGAAACCGCTTCTCGTGTTTCAATTAAAGACAACGTTTTCATTCTCAGTATTTCTGTATTGGCTAATTATTTGCTATCACATCAAAGTATATACACTATAAAGTTTCATTTGTTCGGTGTGTAACGAAATATATATATGTCAGTTTATTTATTGTTCAGGCGCCCAGTTTTAGTACAATTCTTTATGCTATAGTAACTTTCAGGAGAGGAGGATGCGCGCACGTGATTGGCGGATCCGCGCACGTGATTGGTATTTCTCAACGAAATATTTCGTTGGAGTCACATATTTAAAGAAGATCGCACTTGCGCTCGATATGTTTGATGCGACGTGTTCAATTCAGTGTCTCACTTTAATAAGTATCAGTCGTCAATTTTTCCACAATGTCCCAATTTCCCGCACCGTCTAGTAAAACTAGTTACACTTTTTATTGTCGTTCGCAGGCGTTAGTCGCGTCCTATAATGTATCCCAAAATAAATATGTATTATTTCAACATGTTCTGCTTGCATCTATGACAAATACGACATACACATATGCGCTCTCCTGTGACACTATTTGTCATAGGAAGATTCTTCCTATGCCAAATATTGGCGAGTCAACTTTGTTCCGCTTTACAGCTGAAATTCACTACTTACGTTCATAATAGCGTAAACTCCTATGATGCGCACAACACATACAGAAATATTTGTCATAGGAAGAATCTTCCTATGACAAACAGTGTCATATAGAAGAGCGTATATGGGTATGTCGTATTTGTCATAGATGCAAGCAGAACAGGCTGATTATTTTCTTGGAATTTCTACACTTAAATGAGTGGACACTTATACTTACGAGCAGTGTCATGTGGGAAATGTCTACCTCTATGTTTCGAGCTAGCAATGAAATGGCGCCCAGTCGGTTTAATGGCCCAATTCCCCGCAACGTTATGTGAAATTATTTCCACATTGTTTTCCCGCTGGTAGGCGCTAGTGAGAGAAGTTCACATACAAAAGTGTATCCACAAACATTATATTTACACATACGCGTACTAACCCGCACATGGTTATCAACACAATACTTCAACCGAACGACTAATATTGTATGGACAGTAAGACGTTGTCGCTCAATCGGATATACATAAATAATACACAACGCATGTTCTAAACACATGTCTAAATACTATTTTCGTATCCATTAAAACACAAATCGTAGAAGCCAGTTGATAACATAAGTCGCATGTGGTGAAAATAACCACTCATTACTTTAAGAGTCACCGGTGCTTCGTTTTTCTCGATATATTCTATTTCGATAATCGGTTGAGATCCACCAAACTTGATATTTACACATTGACTTACAGTAAACTAGTGGAATAGGAATCATGCATTACGCCAAGCCAAGTTCACGGCTCACTGACACGTTTAACGAACATGCATTTTTGCTTGAAGTACATTAATAATATTACAGTAAATTTAGAAGCATCAATTGTCGCGACTGAGTCGATCTGATCGTAAAATGAGTGCGGGTGGACATAAGGAGAAAAATCTACTTAATTAGGGCGTTTATACTTGAGAAACGTGTACTTTTACGGGATGTGAAGCGGTCTCACTCAGCCTAGGATGCGAAGCGGTTGGTTTAACTACATACCCACCAAGTCATCTACTTTTACGTCACCATGCTACAGTAAATATGGAAAGATAGCCGTGTTCACGATGAGGCAGTTTCATACTCGTTGCCGCCAGGGAGAGTACAGCTAAGCTAAACCAACATTCCACAATTTTACATGTTTGATTTGTGATTATATATCTGATATTGAGAATTATTTTAACGTGGTGAGATCTTGTTTTACACTGCCCAACGTTACGTCTGTGACTGAGTGAGTCTCTATGCTGAAATATTATTATATATTTAATTTTTCCCTCTAATCGTCATCCTTCCGTCACAACTGATAGTTGAGTAGAACTTAATTATATATACTATACAATATAGAAAATTGTTGGTCCATTCCTGCGAAAATTCACAATAAAACGTTTTATATAATGTTTAATTTAAATATTTATATCGTACACAGTTCCCTCAAACGATTAGTCAGCTCGTGTATCCACATAATCTTACACTCATCCACACATAGCTATACATATATCATATATATAATATTATATATATATATATATATATATATATATCATATATATCATATGTATACATATATCACACAGCTATACATATATCCACACACAGCTATGCAGACAAGACAGATTGACCACACTTATTGTAGACAGTGCTGCGACCTGGCGGCGTTGGCGTACTGCCTACTACATTTGAGGCGTCGAGTTGGTTCGCAACTCTGCGTCACGTAGTTCGAAATAAGTGAACAGCATAAAATGCAGACACGCAGTGAGACAGGAAATGCTCGCTAGTCCCTTCAGCGAACTACACGGGAAATACATCGGTAACAGAGCAGCAACACTGCAGCTGCTGCTGCTGATGATGATGATGTAACCCGTTCTCATGACGTCACGTCGACGTTGATGGCGCTGACGTCGGCTTCTGAACGACGATTGCAGTCGCCATTGCTGTTCTCCTCACTAGCATGAATAACGATGTCTGCCGCTGTCTTATCACCTGCGGCATCGACTGCTATCAATGTCGCGTCCGACTTTCCGTCTCCAATTCCGCGCGTCTCCTTGTCGCACGCTTCCACTGAGAATAAAACAAACACTCGCAATGTCACTCATATACAACAGTAAACATTAAAGGATCATGCAGTGGTGCATATGAGGTTCATAAAATTGACGGGGAAACAATTGAATGTCGTCGTGACTTAATACGTTTATAATTAATACGTGAATCGTCGCGGGTCAGCTTATGCAGACACATATTTCGTAGTGCTGCGGACATATTCATCATTCATTATGTTTTTATTTATTATATTATCATATTATTGTGTATAGACTATTTTACATTTTTGTATCTACTTGTCTGTAATAGTTGCAAGGGTTGCTCATGACACAGCGCTTGTTCCTTTCTCGCTCCTATTTTTCTTCTTTCGCTACCCACTCTGTATCTAACTGTCCGTCCGTCCGTCCGTTTATCCGTCCGTTCGTCTGTCCGTCCGTCAGTTCATCCGTCCGTTCGTCCGTCCGTCCGTCCGTCCGTCCGTCCGTCCGTCCGTCCGTCCGTCCGTTCGCACGTATGTCTGTCTGAATTATTACCATCTGCGACCTCCTTGCTGGCATTGGTACGATCAGCCGAGTCATGCAGGCTTGTGCTCTGTGTCCTTGGCTGCTTCTTACTCTTTACTTTATCCGAACCAATACCGAGCTTCTTCCTCGTTGATGATATGAACCCGGAGTTGCTTGGCTTGGTGTTGCTGGATGTACGCCGGCTCGTCTGTAAGATCGTGAGCAAAACACGATGACAAATTCTTCTGACAATTCAGTCACCGCGTCAGTAGCGGCTTTGTGTAATTCTCGCGGATTTCTGGATGTATCCTGTTGGAATTTTTGTGGAAAATTGCAATAGGAGTCGAATTACATAGTAGGCCTACATTGTGCGAATTTGTAGTAGCCTGCTGGTAATGACTGATCATGACTATATGAGTTTGCTCATGTTAACAGGTTGTGTTTTCGAACGATAATTATTTATAGTTTATTATTAATAATTATTAAGGCATCTCAAATGTGCCTTAAATGTATTTTCTGTGATTCATGGTATATTTAAATACACATGCACATCAGTATTTGTTATAACGCACCATCAAAAATATATCACAGAGATATTAGTAGTGGCAGCATTTTTCGTATTATGTGGGTTATTCGGAAGTCATTCACTAAATACCAAAAACTTTATGCAACATTACTTAGTATCGCGTTGGGATGTCTATGACTGAAAAAAAGGGTCAATTAGTTCCCACATGCTACTATCGTTGACTGAGTAATACTTCAGGATTAGACAAACATGTATTTACAGTTTTACACCAAGCAAGCAACTACGGTATACCTCTGCAGTGACGTGCAAATTAGAATACAAAAATAAAATGTTTTAACTTAATTAGTTATTACATGATGTGTGGTTTATATTTAGTATACTTATAAATATTAACATCACATCCGATAGTAAAATATTCTGTTATTTAAAATAGATTAATACTGTTATGATTATTATGAATCTTATTATAGCTACTATTAGTATTAATGTGTTTTTGCTAATGTAATAAAGAGTAATATAATAGACATTACTATATGTCTATTTGGTTACTCCCCATATAATATGTATAATAACGATTCAGATATAGATCAATAAGTAGCAGCATGGCTAACCAAATAACATTCGCCTGGCAAGATCAAGCACATGATATAATAGCGTAGCCATCATCAGTCGTTGACACAGTCATAATCATCAGCCAGTTGATGGAAGACTGTAACTGATAACGGATAACGGATAACGGATAACGGAAGACTGTAACTGTGTACTGATAACGGAAGAAGAAAGTAGCAGTCGCAGCATGAGAGGATGAATGAAATGAAATGTATAGATATGAAACAATAGCACAAACTAATTCCTAATCATCCGTGAATTGAAACACGTGTTCATGATAATCTCACAACTCATTCTCATGCTTAAATTATAGATTCAATTCAGTTGCTACGGCCATGGTCCATAGTCCACAGGCAGTTTGTAAGTATTCTAAGTGAGCAGACTGAATCTAAGTCATTGAATACTCCATGCTAGTCGATTCAACGTGTGATATTCTAGTAGTCGCTTAAGAAAACTGCTACGATGAATATTTGGTAGATATTCTAAACAAGAATAAATTTTCCCTCGAATGTATTAAGACTTTAATTCCCAATTAGCCAATTTGATTTAATTATCTACAGTGTGAAGCAAAATATTGCGAAATATATAAGAGTTCACGCAAACTGCTTTATCATATGTTTATTGAATGTTTTTTGAAGGCAGATCGAGTTTCAAGCAAAATAATGAAAACTGTTTGCACGTGACTGCGGATGATGATTTCAGGAAACACCGGATGTCAAGAATATCCCGCCGGAAGTTCGAGCGCACGAGTGCATAGTGACGGTGTAAGCTTCAAACACATAATCGGATATAAAAATTATTACCAAATAATATCATGATTATCCTAAAACGGTAGACTGTGTTATAAATATTAGTAAAGTCTATATACACTCATGACGAAAGTGACGTGAAGGGTAAACAGGGTAACTTCTGGTTAGGTTCGGTAGGGTGGATTGTAGCGAAATGCTTCCACGCACGCAGCGGCACACTTTTGCGCTGTGGGGGGAAAATTATTACATGCACACTGCTACGGCTCGACCCCATGCACGTGCGTCGCCCGTCGCAACTCGTCTACCATGCACGCATACATACGATGACGTCACATACTTCACACATCGGCACGGTAGCTGATTGGCTGTCGGTCTGCTTTGCGAGGAGGCCATCACGTGGCTTATCCTTGACAGCGATAAAGAAGAGTCAGTTGTACAACCTTAAGATCGATATAAGTCGTTCGTACACGGTGAGTGCACAGGTGCCACGCGAATTAATTACAATTATTTACTATTATTTAACGAAATTACAGGTTGTAATTATACAATGTAGTATTGGTATAATAGGGCGTACGCAAACAATTGGTGCTTGTTATTAAAAACTCGATCTGTGATCGCCTAAATGTAAATAATTTCTAATTACACGTGATTTGTTTTTAATGCGCGCAATAAAATGCTCGACCGATAATAATTAAACTCATTACGTGTCGCAATGGAAAACTGTTTTTCAACACAAACCACCTATAGCTGGCAACGTCGACATGCACACAGCAAACATGAACACTACCTTATATTCTCCACGTAACCTCGATAAAAAAAAAACATAATGAAAGAATGAACCAGTTTTTCATGCGAACCCAGTTTGTTAAAGCAAGTTACTGGATTAAATCTGCTTAAGACACTGTGGTATTTTCGCTGTCTCATAGAATGAGGGATAGCGATCCAACAGTGGATGATAATGGAGAAGGATAGGGAGGAACGGATAATAGAGGTCGTCCATGTCGGGGGCGAACGTGTACTCAGTAAGATACACGGATGTGTCGAATTTGCCGGAACTCAACAGGTATTTTCCTGTGAATTTTTATAGAATTGTATTTTATGGTTATAATGCGCATTGCATGCAAGCGATCTGCCTTCAATGTTTTCTTATGTAAATTATGTTGGGTATTACTGGAAGGTGCAATAGTGAAAGCGATTAAAAATCACATATTTTACTTTACACGGACCTATAATTCCCAAGCAGTCATCCGTATAAATAAAAAGACATTGTTAGTCCATTCAGATTGAGTCTTCGATCTAGTTAACCAAACTCGACAAGCAGATATGCTGCACAAACAAATAAGTAAAACCCCGCCCTCCTTGTCATTGCACGATGCAAACGGATGTCATGCAAATGCAAACCACACGCTAAAGAAGAAACCCGATATCTGACTATTTCTATATCTTGATGTTGACTATGATAACATGGCCGCTACTACGTTTGGTATCTCTTACGCATCCATGTTCTTCACACATGCTATTATTATTAAATAAAGATCTGCCCCCAATTTTTGATTACCATTTTAGACCTCGTGACTTGTGTTTGTGCTGAAGTCTGGAAGCAAACGGATAACGAAAAGTCAAACATTTTCTACTCTCTACCAGATTGTTTAATGCCATGCTAAGTAGTACTTTTATTTTCTAAACGCATGCTGCTTCAGCTCAAGGTACCTTACTAAGCCATAGCGTGGCGCCATCTATTGTAGCATTAGGAAAGACCCTCATTTAGAAGGTCCCCCATTCGTGTAAAAAGGGAAACGTTGCATTGTTACTATTCCTCATCTTGTATACACACATTAACACGCTAAAAAATGTTTGCAATTTAATTATTAAAGTATCTCGCTAGGCCCTTGAATGTAGGTCTTATACGTAAAGATTTCCCTTTCATGCATTTTTATACAGTATGCGTCTTTTGGTTCGCTATAGGCCTACGATCAAAAACGACATTTACGCTAAGATCATGGCCAGCTACAAAATGCAACTGAAAACAAGCGTAATATCGGTAATTGCGTATAGGACTTTCTACCCCACCCCTGTGTGTCGTTTCACTATTGCCCCGTAATATGTCCTGCACGAGGCAATAGGCTTAGCACCAGTACTCACGTACGTAAGGTCGGTTAAAATAAAGACGTATGTTTACTTACCTGTGTGGTTGCACGTTGTGTAAACCTAGCGGGCCAGAACAATTATTTCCTCGAACTAATTAACCTTCCTTTACCATTCAATTTCCATGCATCAACTAATACAAGTGCCGCGGAGCGACAGCGCTCATCTAACGTCTACTGCGGTGACTCTGTGGGGGAGTGGTGGGATTCTAGTAAACCCTGTTAGTCCCAAATGTGTTCACATACGACGCCGTAAACAAGTGGAATGCACAGGGATGGTATCAGGAACCTTCTCAAAGGAATGTTCGTTGGATCGTTATGAAAGTTGCCACGAGATGGTGCGTACGTTTAAGTGTCTTCAGATTAAAGTGGAAGCTCTCATCGTACGTAGTAGCAACAACTATTTGCACGACAGAATGGTAAGCACTCATCCATTTACCTACGCAAGCCTACAGGCTGCAAATTGCAATAGAGAGCTGCCACCTGTAACCAATTAACGCAGGCAAAAACTCCACAGTACTATCACCAACATATGCACTGGCAGTAGCCACTGGCAGTGGCATACGTTACATGTAACATACTGACAGTACAGAATGCCACAGAAATTATACGATTTAATGAGCATAAACCTTCTTTAACCAAATTTAGCTTTTGAAATTTCACTGTGACATTGTAGCTCATACATCCAGGCATGTATAGATTCTACTAGCAAACCAGCAGTCAAATTCTTTCTAACAGACAGTCAACAAATCCATGTTTAACCATCCTCTGAGGGTCAAAAAGTTTATCTGACACTACTCTTCGCATGACAGCAGAAATTAGATTTCATCTGGTCCTTTCAATATGCATAAAAATGCTAGGTCCCGCTGAAACAAAAACGTTTTTCAATCGCTCCGTCAGACCATGTCCTCAGAAAATGTCTAAAATCTGCCCTGTGCCCATTGACCTTTGACCTGTGACCTCCAATTTCGGAACAGTGATGGCTTTTCCTACAATGATGCTATACACCGACTATCACGAGCCTAGGTCGAGCCGTTTAGATTTGTGCCGCAATTCTGCATTTCCTCCCTATACCTTAAGTTAAGGAGTGAATGTTCCCCCTTCTTTTACACCTCTTGACCTTTGACCTTTGACCCCCAGCTTCGACATCCCAACTCGTTCTGACGATCCCCCCCCCCATGTGCCGAATATCGTGACCGTACGTCGAGCGGTTAAGATTTGTGCCCAACTGTTGACGGACGCACGAACGGACGGACGGACGGACGGACGGACGGACGGACGATCAAGCGATTCTACAAGCTGCATCTGACTATGTCAGATGAGCTAATAAATTAATCAGCTTACGGTCATCTCATAAGATAAAACAGATAAGCTCATATAAACTTAACAACAAAAAGTATCGGAACCCCTAAAGCACTGATATAGATCTACGCCGAGCCCAGATATGTAATACCATAATATATAATACCATAATATATAATACAATCACCGGTTCTAGTATATATTATATACTAGAAACGGTGATTGTAGGTTGAGATCAGAGCAAGGTGAGATATGAGTCACGGAATACTCACAGACGATGTGTACGTGGATGGAGTCGGTCCGTAATTCTCCATCGCATCTTTCATGCACTGTGGACAAGAACTGCTGCGTCGCACGAACTTCGCAAACGCCTTCTGAACCTTTTCGTTCATGAGGCAGTGGAACACGAAGATGAACAGACCCTATACATGAACACACAATGTCAGACAGTCAGTGTATGCTGAGACCTTCCCTCTTTCGCAACAAAGATGGCGGTGTATCTCGACAACCCTACAACGAGGTTAATCTAGTATTAAATGTGGCGCGTTTTGAGAGAGAGCTCGAAGCCACGTCACTACCACGACGCGATAAATAATGATAATCACTAATAACAATCAAAATAACAATCATAATAATTATAACCAAACGATGAGAAAATTTACACGATAATAGGGAAATTTTTGGTAATTAATAACTGCTCCGTTTTAACATAAATAAGTGCCACTTTGTGGGAAACAGGTGTAAGACAATGAACGTGCTTCATGGACATCACTAATCAGTAATCCTTATTGTACCTGCAAGGAGTTGAAGATGGTGAAGATGTAGGCAAACGCGATGAAGGAATTGTTGATGTAGAGAAGACCGAATAGCCACGTGATTCCGAGCAGGCAGAGCAGCATAACCGAGCCTTTCAACCATCCCCTAAAACAAGCCGAAATAGAACGGTTACTATTATTCTACCGAGGTATAGGTTACCCGAGAAATAATAATAACTTACCTAAGAGTTATCTGTATATTCTCTAAACTATGTCAATTTTTAATCGTGACATTGCCATTAAAACGTAAACATACCGTGAATGAAAGTTTTACTATGTATATCACGTGATTTATTATGCATGTTGTCACAGCTTTATCATTTATTCATTTATCAAAGTGTTCTGCACGTATGAAAACAGGACGAATATATAGCAATCTGATACCGTCAAGGATTAATACTTAACATTTCGCAGAGTTAAATATTATATATTATATCAAATAACGTTCAATATATATTCTTGTAAAACACAGCTTTTTACAAATACTGCAAATGCAGGAATTATACCTTATGGCCTTTCCTTCAGGGCTGGCATTAAACGCGAACGAAAAATTATCAATTTAAAAAATACTGAAAATTATTTATTTGGGATTTCTAACCTCTATACTAAATGCTTGACAATATATTTAAGTAACTATAACTGCGATTCTTTAATTGAGTAGTAATCTTTGATTAATACTCAATTTAAAAAATAATCACATTAATGAACTCGAGCTGTCGAGAATGTGCACATTTAACGACGAGATTCAGATAAACATTTTTAACAAGAAAAGCGGGATCGCGCTATGACGTCAGCTCATTCTGTATTACCTGACTATATCTACTGTCGTTTCCTCTGTCATCTTTGTGGCTCCCGACTGCACGCTAAACACAACTTTGAGGGCGATTACCAAACACACTATATTCACCTGCGCATAAAAAAGCATCAACGATTTGTCACATTACATACTCGTGTGCTCCTCATTCAATCAGGAGTCTATCAATATATATTGATAGACTTCTCATGAAATACTTAAACGAACATAGGATTGTATAGTGGCAGGTATTTTACTGATCTAAAATTTTAATTTGGAAGCAGCATCCCGCTACAATTTTTTCCCTATGCACATAGAAATTGCGTTCGCGTCGCTCGTCGCCGTTGCTAGCCAAGATAAATAGCTTCGGACGATCTTATTATATATATATTATATATATAATATTATATATATATATATATTATATATATAATATTATATATATATATATATTTATATAATATATATATTATTATATGTGTCCAAAATGGGCTGGGGCATACCCGCGAACAGCATACTAACACATTACTTTATTATGAATAATAGAATGTATAGACAGTATAGTGTACACAGCACTCACCACGATGACAGCACACACTGGTGCTATAAAACTCCAAATGAAATTGGTATCAGATCTGAGCCAACAACTGTAATATTAAATTTAAAAAATTTAAAAGATCAAGACATGGCGTCGTCGAATATTGCTATCACAAATACAAGAAAGGAAATTACAAATTTCTAAACTAGATCATAGTCAATAGGGGAAAGCACGTCGCAGAAATATTTCGTTTGAAGTATTTAGTTTGAAGTTATTGAAATTATAGTTGATCGTATGCTAAGGAGGTGTAGGAATTGTGACATGCAATATTATGCTGCTTATAATGGGAAATTCTGACTCTTACTAGTATTCAGTGCCATAGCCGGAGGGCTGTACGCTTGCTGCGATGCCAACGATAAGTGCTGGTATACCTACAATCAAAGGTGGCAAGCGCATCAACGAACTATACACACACACGCACGCACGCACGCACACACACACACACACACACACACGCACACGCACGCACACACGCACA